TATATACGTAAAGAGAGAGAAACGAGAGAGGAAATGGGAGTAAGAGAAAGAGATGGGGACAAAGATGGAGAAAGGAAAAAAGGAGAGACATACAGAGAGAGAAAACGTGGAATAAATGCAAAAATAAGAGGGATACTCATGATAATGGAAAGTACAGCAAAAGCAAAAAAAGATAATACACATAATATTACAATTTTACCCATTCATGGGAACAACATTTGAAATTTGAAGCTTAGAAACAGAAAGTTGTTATAAAAAAAAAATAAAATAAATATCTTTATTAAAATTCTTTGTATTCACACTTTATTACAATTCTCTGTATTCACAAATTTTATTACAATTCTATGTATTCACAAACTTTATTAAATTCTCTGTATTCACAAACTTTATTACAATTCTCTGTATTCACAAACTTTATTACAATTCTCTGTATTCACAAACTTTATTAGAATTCTCTGTATTCACAAACTTTATTACAATTCTCTGTATTCACAAAACTTTATTACAATTCTCTATTCACAAACTTTTACAATTCTCTGTATTCAACAAACTTTATTACAATTCTCTATTCACAAACTTTATTACAATTCTATGTATCCACACGACACATATAAAACTACTAAACATCAGATTTCACACGAGAAAAATACAAAAAAACATAATCATATAAACTTACCTACTGTCTACGTCCCCACAACGTCCAGCCTCAGTGGGCAAAATCTCTATAGTCTTGTTGTTGAACTGACCTGTAGAAATAAAAAAAATAAATAAATGAAAAAAAATCAAAACACAAACTCAACCGGAATATCGACCCAAAATTTTATTCACATGAGAATAAAATTAATTATCGGCCCAAAATTTAATTTCCTTGGTTCAGAAGACGATAAAATTAATAATAGAATGAATTATCGACCCAAAAATTTATGAACAGATGCAGATGAGAATAAAATTAATTATCGGCCCAAAATTTCATATCCTATGTGCAGACGACGATAATAATAATAATAACAAATAATATGATGACACAATAAAAATACAAAATAATAATCAAACGAATAAGAATCTAAAAAAAAAAAAAAACAATAACAAAAAATCACACGAATACGACAATCAACTAAACCCCAAAAATCTCTCAAAAAATCTCTCTCTCTCAAAAAAAAAAAAAAAAAATAAATAAATAAAAATAAATAAATAAAAATAAATATATGAATAAATTAATAAAAACACATAAATAAAAAACCGCCCACACGCACCGATGATGCATGGGCCTGGGGCGACAGGATCTTCTGGCCCTCGACGTAGAAGCCGAGGTAAGCCTGGCCGTCGGCGTTGGTCGAGCGAGTGACGGCGAAGTGGGCCTCGCCGTCGCCCAGGATCACGTCCAGGTGCTTGCTGTCCTGCTTCTTCAGGATCATCGCCGTGCCGTATCTGCGGGGGTGACGGGGAGGGGTGAGAGGGGGGAAGGGTGAGAGGGGAGGGGGAGGGGTGAGGTGAGGGATGGGTAGGGGGAGGGTGGGGATGGGTGAGGGGGAGGGGGGAGGGGAGAGGGATGGGGATGGGTGAGGGGAGAGGGAGGGGAGGGAGGGGAAGGGAAGGGTGAAGGATGGGAAGGATGTGAAGGGATGGGAAGGGGTGAAGGGGGGGGAGGGGAGGGGAGGGGTGAGGGAAGGATGGGAAGGGGGGGGGTGGGAGGCGAGGTGAGAGGTGGGGTGAAGCAAGGCGAGGCGAGAAAGGGAGAAATCAAAATAAGAAATTTAGTTTACTCAACTACATGCCCTTAGTTTTATAGCGCATTGGGAGTGTTCGCTATTGGCTTCATATAGTATTTGGAATGCGTGCTATTGACTTCCTATGACAATGACAATTATGCTAACTTCCTAGTGAGAATTTATGCTATTGACTAGTACATGAGAATTTATTGCTATTGACTTCCTGTACACATTTGCTATTGACTAGTACACTGAGAATTTAATGCTATTGACTTCCTAGTACACTAAATTTATGCTATGACTTCATAGTACACTGAGAATTTATGCTATTGACTTTCAAGTACACTGAAAATTTATTGCTATTGACTTCTAGTACACTGAATTTATGCTATTGACTTCCTAGTACCTGAGAATTTATGCTATTGACTAGTACACTGAGAATTTATGCTATTGACTTCCTAGTACACTGAGAATTTATGCTATTGACTTCCTAGTACACTGAGAATTTATGCTATTGAGTTCATAGTACACTGAGAATTTATGCTATTGACTTCCTAGTACACTGAGAAATTTATGCTATTGAGTTCTAGTACACTGAGAATTTATGCTATTGACTTTCCTAGTACACTGAAATTTATGCTATTGAAGTACACTGAGAATTTTATTGCTATTGACTTCCTAGTACACTGAGAATTTATGCTATTGATTCCTAGTACACTACATTGACTTCCTAGTACACTGAGAATTTATGCTATTGACTTCCTAGTACACTGAGAATTTATGCTATTGACTTCCTAGTACACTGAGAATTTATGCTATTGACTTCATAGTACACTGAGAATTTATGCTATTGACTTCCTAGTACACTGAGAATTTATGCTATTGACTTCCTAGTACACTGAGAATTTATGCTATTGAATACACTGAGAATTTACTATTGACTTCACTAATACTATTGAGTAGTTGAAAATTTATGCATGATACACTGTTGCTTTCAATAGTAAGAATTACTATTGCTTCATATTGCACTGAGAATGTGTGGCGTTTGCTTCGTAGTGTATCAACATATTGCTAGTATCGTGACTGGATTTATATTCTGTTATTTGTAAGATGGATGTGTTATTCATGCCCGCTCTACCCAACTCCCCAAATCTACCTCTCGTTCTACTCAGCTTTACCTCCCGCTCTACCCAACTCTACCTCTCGTTCTACTCAAATCTACCTCTCGTTCCTACTCAACTCTACTCTTTCCCTTTCTCCCGCTCTACCTCTACGCCAACTCTACCTTTCCTTCCTAAACCGACTCTACCTCTGACTCTACCTCCAACTCTACCCAACTCTACCTTTCCCTTCCTCCCGACTCCACCTCCACCTCCAACCCCGACCTTAGCGCAACCCGACTCACAATCTGGCCATCCCTTTGTCCCAAGAAGTCACGTGGTTGCACTGCTTCGAGAGGTTGACTCCCTTCCTCAGGTCGGGCTTCTTCTTGTGCTTCTTCCTCCTCTTCTTGCCGTTTACCTTATTCCTCCGTTCGTAAGGTCGGCCCTTCTTGTCGTAGAAGGGGTAAAGGCTCTTTTTCACGAAGTTCACCTGCCGAGGAGAGGAAGGGTTTTATTTTATTTTATTTTATTTTATTTTATTTTATTTTATTTTATTTTATTTCTCTGTCTTGTTTACAAAAAGAGAGTCATGTTTGTGCTTTTCGTGAGTCGGAGAGAACAGACTTCCGCATTAGTCGTTCTGTCTTCTCTGTCTCTCTTTTTTTTCTTCTGTCTCTCTGTCTCTCTCTCTCTTTCTTTCTCTCCTTTCTCTCTCTCTCTCTCTCTATTTCTCTCTGTCTCTGTCTCTGTCTCTGTCTCTGTCTCTTCTCTCTCTCTCTCTCTCTCTCTCTCTCTCCTCTCTCTCCTCTCTCTCTTTCTCTCTCTCTCTCTCTCTTTCTCTCTCTCTTTTAAACACACACACGCGGAAAAAATATATAAAACACATCTATATCTATCTATCTATCTACATCTATACCTACATACATAAAGAGAAAAAAATCGTCACACTCTATTTACAACAAAATAAAGAGTCCACCCTCCCCCCCCCTCCCCTCCCCTAACCACCACCCCACCCCCATCCCCCCCATCCCCACACCCCCGCCACCCATCCCCCCCTCCTCCCCACCCCCTCCTCCCCATCCCCACCCCCCCTCTCCGTCTCCCCGTCTCACCTGCGGCACCCGGTTCTCCCCCCGCCCCCCCCACACACCCTCCTCCCCATCCCCACCCCCCCCACCCCCCGTCTCCGTCTCCCCGCCTCCACCTGCGGCATCCGGTTCTCCCATCCACCCATCCCCTGCCCCCCCTCCCCATCCCCACCCCCCCTCTCCGTCTCCGGCCGTCTCACCTGCGGCAGGCCCGGTTCTCCCCATCCACCCACCCCCACCCTCCTCCCATCCCCACCCC